GGAAGAAGGAGCTGAGGAGAGAGTGTTGTGGGACTAGTCCTTGCTCACCCACTGCAAACTGATGTCACTTCCTGTGAGCATAGCAGCTCCTCTCCTGGAGGATGGAGCAGAAAGGAGCCTAAAACTGCCCCCCCATATCAGAAAGCAGTCTGTCTCCTCTTCGAGGACCCCAGCACTGCTACTCCCTTTCCACTGACAAAGGCAACATCCTCAAGAACATCTAGAGACTGACTTTAATGAGGTTTTAAAAGACAAAGTCTTCTCCTAGCTAGGAACAGAGGTATTCCTTCACCCCTCCTCCCACTGTGATCCCCCTTTTTTTCTAAGCCTTCCCTGTTCCAGTCCATCTGCTTTACTTAAAAAGTCCCAAGCCATATTTTATTCCCAGGCTCATGTGCTCAGATAGGTGTATGCAGCCAGGCCCTGCAAGCTCCCTCTTCCCCAGCTCTCTGGGAAGGAGCTTGTCCCCAGGCTTCCCTGGCGGGCTGGATGGGGATACGGAGAGGGAGCGGGGCTGTCACTCACGCTAGAGTCTCAAGAGGGTGACCCCACAATAGGGGGAAGAGCCATATAAGCTAAAAGGCTCCCAGGCAGCTGAGATAGACTGCCAAGCCTATTCGTGATCCTCGATCGCCATCTGGTGGCCTGCACGAGCAAAGCCGCAGAATAAGCCTTGCCAAAGACCTTGTGGCTCAGGGCAGCTGTTTTCTTTGTTGAGGGTCTCATTTCCTGGCGGGCACCATGGTCCCAGCTCAGGGCTGCAAGAAATGGAGGAGCGCACAGGTGCTCAATCACTGGCTAGGAAGCTAAGCGTTTATTACAGTGGTTCTCAACCTTCTGGCCCTTTCAATACAGTTCCTCATGTTGTGACCCAACCCTAAAATTATTTTCGTTGCTACTTCATAACTGTAATGTTGCTACTGTTATGAATCGTAATGTAAATATCTGATCTGCAGGATGGTCTTAGGCGACCCCTGTGAAAGGGTCGTTCGACCGCCAAAGGGGCCGCGACCCACAGGTTGAGGACCGCTGGTCTAGGACAACACTATGAAGAGTATCCTAGATAGTATTACCAAATTAGCTTAAGAAAATCCCTTATGCTTTATTCCAAATGACTTAGAGATAAATAAGCACTTATATAAATTAAATATTCCTAAAACTCCCATAAATTACAGAGACAATTTCTAAATATTTGAAATGAAAAAATAAATCATTCTTATAAGAACTATCCCAAATGTTTAAAAAATTAAAGTTCAAAGGTTAGGTAAATCTCTGCCAAACAAGACGAGTTTAATATTGTTAGTTTAATAATAATAATAAACCCCAGCTATGTCTTGTGAGTTATAAATGTTATAGCTAACACAATAATATATTTTTATTCT